TTAAATTTATGTTATTTGTCAACAATATGTCCATAAAGCTGAGGAAAATATATCGCGGAGTGTACTGGCTAGGTTGTAGGATAAAAAAATGTTTGGATTTCTAAGAAACCGCCAAACTGTCCTCCGAAGCAGCTGCTTGGGTCTGCATCATCCCCACCAGCCGTGACCGGGCACCCCGCCGCTGCACCCTCACCAGTGTGTGCTGTTCCATGCGCCAGATTTTGGCCATTCTGGCGGGTGTGCAGTGAAGGCTCTTTGTTTGAAGGTGCAGCTCTGAAATGCATGTGATTCTAACCATCTTCTCGTGTGTCTTTGCTGTCTGTGCGTCCTCTCTGGTGAGTCGTGTGTTGATATTCTGCTCCTTTCTCTTAATTGGGTTGCTTTCTTATTGATGAGTTGTAAGAGCTCCTTATGTATTTTAGAGGCCGAAATCTTTATAAAGTAGGCTTCACACCTTGCGCAGCGCTTGAACCCACAACCCTGAGATCAAGACTTGATCTGAGGTCAAAAATCTGACACTCAACCGACTGAGGTGCCCCGTGGGGTTTTTTTTCTCTGAGTGTGTGCTTGTCTTCTCATTCTCTGAACAGCGTCTTCCTCTGATGGGAAGTTTTTAATTTCAGTGAAATCCAGCTTACTATGCTTTTCTTTCACGGGTCATGCCTGCGAGACTGTATCTAAAGACTCTTCACCAAACTCGAAGTCATCCAGATTTTCCTCCTATGTCATCTTCTAGGAGTTTAAGAACTTTTCCACTGTCAGGGGAAGCAGAGTGCTCTGGGCTGTCCTTCCGCTTCCTTTCTCTGCTCTTCATCCTGAGGACCTGGTGCGGCCCCGGGAGGTGGAACTCATAAAGCGAATGTTGCATCTCTCCAGGAGCCCATGCTCAGTCCCTGGCGGCTGGTCCCTTGCCCCCAGTGCGCTCCCAGGTGCGGCTCTAGCAGTGGCTCTGGCTTATGGCAAGCTGTGATTCTGTGTCTGCCCGATGCTCCAGTCTTCAGGGGAGCAGTTTCCCCGGGAGTCTGATCACTGCCTCCGTAGCTCTGCTTTTCCACAATGTCACATACTTTCTTACCTATCATACAGCACACATTACCTTCTCAGACTGGCTTTTATCCCCTAGCAATATGCACTCAAGGCTCCTCCATGTCTTCGCAGGGCTGGACAGCCCATTCCTTCTTAGTGCTGGCTGATATTCCCTGTGTGGATGGACCACTGCTAATCCATCCACCTACTGAAGGGCGTCTTGGTTGCTTCCAGGTTTTGGCAGTTAGAAATGAAGCTGGAATAAACACTGATGTGCAGGGCTTGGTGGGAAAATAAGTTCTTGGCTCGCTAAGCGCCCAGGGGAGTGATGCTGGAGAGCATGTGAAAGCCCGCTCAAGCTGTGAGAACCCGGCCACTGGCTCCCAGAGCGGCTGCACCTTGCTGCATCCCCACCCGCAGAGAAGAATTCCTGCTGCTCCACATCTTCTCTGGAATTTGGTGTTGTCTTTGCCTTTGCTTTCAAATTTATTTTTGCTGGGTGTAGAACTCTAGATTGACAATTTTTTTCTTTCAGTACTTTAAAGCTGTGTCTCCTCTATTCTCTGGCTTGCACAGGTCCTGAGAAGTCTGCTGCTCCCTTACACAATGTTTCTTTTCTCTTACATCTTTCCTTTATAAGTTTAAAGAAGTATGATCATGATAGTGAAGCCGCTGGGCAGGTTTGGAAGTCAGAGCCAGCAGGTCCATCACCAAGGTGGGGACTCAAGAAGGAAAGGATCAAAGATGTTGCCAAGAGTCTGAGCTTGAACAGCTGGGAAGATGGGGTGCAGGTTGCCGAGAGGCAGCTGGCGTGGGCTGTGAGGATTGCGGTCTGGTCGCTTCAGTGAAGACGGCACATCCCTTGGGCTATCTCAGAAAGCAGAGCCGGGGACAGGAATTACAGGGCCAGCAGCTTAAGAGACGACCCCAGGCAGCACCGAATGTGAAAGGGACGGAAGGCGGGGGAGGAAGGCAGGCAGACGCAGGTGTCGCCCCGGTTAGCCCGCCGAGAATCCCAGAGCCCTGGTGGAGCATGCGAGGTGGCCGACCCAGGGGACAGAGCAGAGGGAGCCAGCCAGGGGCTGAAGGGCTGGTCCCGGGCAGGGTGGGGCCCCAGTGGAGACGCAGGTGCCGGCAGCCAGTGGTAGGCTGTTGAGGTCCAAATGGATAGGGGCAGGGGCCGGGTGGTGGACCACACGACAGTCACCCCTCAGCCCTTCATGAGCCAGGGGCCTCCAAATTCGGGACGGAAAGAGGGCTCCCCTGAAACCTCTCGTTGTCTGGAAGTCCCGCCGCCTCATTTCACCCTGGTCAGGGCACGGTGACTCTGCCAGGACCTCAGTGGCGGACAAGAGCGCCCGGCTCGGTGAGGCTCTGGCCCCCGCCTTCCTGCCTGCCGAGAGACCTGCAGGGAGAGAGGTCCACACGCATTCCTGCCCACATTCCACAGGAGGGCCTGAGTGCCGCGTGGCTTCCGTCAGGCCACGTGGGCTTCAGGAGGCCACAGTCCGTGCTGACGCCCATCCACCTGCGCCAGGCCCTCCCCGCAGCCGGGACCTCTGCCCCCAGGGAGCCCGGTCCCCTACTTCCACCGCCCAGCAGCACATGTCAGACACGGCCATCGTCCCGTTTATCACCACGTCTTACAAGGTCAGGTCCACGGGCGTTGGGGTTGGCTGTGTAAATATTTGGCCTTCAGGGCTCTCCTCGGCCAAGCTCCTCAGGGTGCTGACGTTAAACACACTCCTTCAGGACAAATGCACTTGGTCTCAGGAAGGCCTCAGGGTCCAGCTCTCAGAGAAGTGTCTGCTCAGGCTAATGTTTGACAACACAAAGCCCATTTTTCCTATGACTTTTTCTCATTTAAGACAAGAAAGATTGCCCTCTGCTCGCCAATACACATACTCACCAGTCATTAATACGCAGGCATTTTAAAACATTTGTGATCAGAAAGGTCTGTGTTTTCTCATTTCATTACAGTGTCAGGGAGATTTGAGCTAGGGAGGGAGGAGAGTGGGAAACAGAAGGGAGGGGGAAGGGAAAGGGGAGGGGGAGGATGAGGAGGCAGGAGAGAAAGAGGAGGAAGGGAGGGAGAAGGAGGGGGAGGGAAAGAGGGGGGAGGGAGCAGGGAGGGAAGGGGGAGGAGGGAGGGGAGAGAGAGGAAGAAGGAGAGGAGGAGGGAGAGGCAGAGGAGGGAAGGGAAAGGGGAGGAGGGAGTCAGGGAGGGGGAAGGGAAAGGGAGGGGGAAGGGAGGAGGAGGGAGAAGGGAAAGGGGAGGGAGAAGGAAGGGGGAGGGAGAAGGGAGGGGCAGGGAGAAGGGAGGGAGGGGACAAGGAACGACCTTAGCACCAGCTACAGGGCTTTGTGGAAGTCTGTTCCACGTAACCGGTGCTGCAGACCCACACATGCAGGCCCCCGTCAGGGCAGGTGTCAGAGCGCTGTAAGTGGGTGCCGGCTGGGTGCACAGAAGCTGTTGGAGGGGTGGGCGTCAGAGGCGTGGCTGCATCTCCTCTGGGTGATGGGTGTGCAGGTGTTTTGTCTTTTTTCTGAGGTGATGCCCGGGGTGTCGGGCTCCCACGGCTACTCTAAGCAGAGGAGCAGCTTCAAGGACAGGTGTTCACTCTCTGCTCTGCAGGCTCCGTGACGGTCCTTCCTGCCCTTCCCACTCCGGTGGCCCCAGGAGTGGCTGGCGGCCTCGCTCTGCTCTCCTCGGTCATCACTTGGCATTGCCCCCTGCGTCGGTGGCCGTGTGTCCTCTTCTCAGAGGGACACCGGTCAGGTCGGGTTAGGCCCACCCTACTCCAGTGTGACCCCGTCTTAACTAACTGCATCTATAATAACCACATCTCCTAGTAAGGCCACCTCCTGAGGTCCCGGGGGGGGGGGGATCAGGACTTCAATGTCATTTTGGGGTGGAGATGCCGTGGTGAGAAAACAGCCACCTGTAGACTATAGGGGACTGACCCCCTATATGCCTAGAGTCCGCGGTGCTGGGGGCCCCCAGGCGGTGTCCTGACTGCAGAGCCCTTCACAGGGAAGAGAGACCGGCTGGGGAGATGCTGGCCAGGCCAGGTGGAGGCTGGGTCCAGGCCAGGAGGGCAGAGGGTGTCAGGGATCTGACCACCCGCGCCTCTGTCCACACTGGTAACCACAGCCACTAGGACGGCCGCCTTGGGGTGATTGAGGGGCAGGTGCTGGGCAGGGAGGGGCACGACCCTGGATGAGCTGAGGACGCCCTTGAGGACAGACAGGGCATCTGGGGCCAGCTCCACTGGGCAGTGTGGGGGGGAGCCCAGCCTGGGCGCAGATGGGGGTGGGGGAGGTGGGGGGAGTAGAGGATGGAGGCGGGTGGCGGGAGCAGGGGGCTGGGACTCTCCAGACACAGCTTCAGAGGCTACTGGTAACAACACGGTTCACAGAAGTGATTACTTGTGAAGTGTGTGAGGCACAGAGAAAACCAAGGAATGAACTCAGCTGATCCCTCAGGGTCTCCACGTAGCCCCCGCCCCATGACCCGCCCCATGACCCGCCCCCAGCACTGTGTCAGCCTCCTCCCTTCCCGCACCAGCATCTCAGCACCCGCTGAGCGCCCCCGACCGGTCCACCGTCCACCGTCCCCAGGCGAGCGCCCCGGACCGCCGACCACCGTCGCCTCACCCGGGCGAGCGCCCGCGACCGCCGTCCCGTGTCCCGCCTGCACGCAGACTTTGTATTACTGGACTCACTGAACGCGTCCTTCTGTGACTCGCCTCAGACGCCTGAGCTCGGAGCTGTGACAAACTCGTCCTGCCTACCGTCATTGTGTGGACACAAGCGATGTGTCCCTTCTCCGGCCGGGGACGCGCGGCTGCCTCACAACGTCGCTGCCACGAGAGAGGTCCCGGGGCCCGTGCGCGGACACTCGCCCAGGGGCTGGGCGACCTCCGTCAGCTTTGCCGGCTGACGCCAAACGGTGATCCGCGCGCCGCGGGCAGGTCCACGCGCCTGGGAGGCCGGGGTCTGTGCTGCCCCCACGCCCTCGGCACCCCCGGCCTCCGCCGCTGAGGTCTGTGTCCCGTACTCTTCATCACCGCCAGAAAACTGCTCACACGTCACAGAGTAGCGAGGAACGCGGCAGTAGCGGCCCTTTGGCCGATCGGGTCAAGGCTCCGTGGTGAGGAAACAAGACGGTATTTCTCAACCTCGTTCTGGCCGTGACACCACAGCCGCAGCCCTCCTCTGGAGCCACCAGTGTGATGTCTGCGCCGCCCTCGGGGTCCTGGCTCTGGGGGTGCCGCGCGAGGGGCAGGTGGGGAAAGCCCATCCCGCAGGACGCTCAGGCCCCGGGGGCTCCAGGGCTGGGCGACGGGGCGGCTTTAGGGGTCAGTCCTTGTCACCTGGAAGAGGCCATGACCGCGTTGCTCCCACACCTCTGTGGCCGGCCCAGAACAGGGGCTCAGTCGGGACTCCCTACGTTCAGTGGCACCAAGGAGGGGCACCTGCCACTGTGTGGGGGTGTCCGTGGGGAGCCCCCAGTGTCCTCAGAGGCCCGCCTGTGCAGCGGACAAGCGGAGCCTCACGGAGGAAGAAGAGAGGAACCCTGGGGCCAGGAGAGAGGGCAGGGGGCAACCCTCCAGCGGTGTCCAGGGGAGCCCCCAGGTGTTCCCGTTCATTCCTCCAAGGCAGGGTCACCGTGATTCCAGGATGGGACCCTGGCTCTCCTAAGCGGCACCCAAACTCACAGCAGCACCGAGAGTCCAGCTGCTGAGGCAGCGACCCTGCGTGTGCCCTGGGGGCATGGGGTGGCCGGGAGGCATGGGCGAGGCACCCTAGCGGGCAGGGGGAGGGCCCGCCCACACCGGGAGGCGGCCAAGCGGGTGGTACTGACTGGCGTGCCCACCGACTCCTCACGAGCTCCCCACGAGGGAGATTTCACACACCTGTTCCGCCGCTGGCTGGGGGTGGGGGAGGTGGGGGACAGCGCAGGCAGGCTCAGAGGACTCACGGGGCAGGGGAGCCGGAGCCAGGGCTGACTCCGCTGCCACCGCCTCACCCCGCTCGGCCCCTGCTCGTGCCTGCCTCTGACTTTCGTTTTCTCGCCCAGATGGGGTGACAGGACCCCGCGCCCAGAGCCTGTGGGCATCTAACTCCCTGCCCGGCCCACAGGGCTTGGGGCTCTCGGTGACTTCCACGGGCTGGCTGGGCCTCCTGTCCCTGACACGCCTCTAGCCCCAGCCTCTAGCTGTTTATCCTCAACCGCGTGAAGAAGGCATAAACCGTGCAGCTTGCCCAGGTATTTATTTTAGTTAGTGAAAATGCCTTGGACTTTGCCAAGAGCCATTTGACTTTAATTGGAAACTTTTGAGGCATTAAGACTGCGCCGAGCCTTAAGGCGTGTCCGAGGCTCTGAAACCATCCATCACGTGAGGCCTGCTTAGGACCAGGTGGAATGAAGACAACCTTTTAGCAAATCCACCTCCCTTAATGGACTCATTTATAACTCTCTGCACCGCTGGGCAGTCTCTCCACAGAACCCCGGGAGCGCCAGCCAGCGCGTCTGAAAGCAGCCAACATCTGGTGGCTGTAAACGAGGAACCCAGAAAAAACAAAACACAACATAAACAAGAGGCGGCTCGGGGAGGGCCACCCGGACGCCCCCATCCTGCTCCCCGGGCAGACGCTTCCCCGCCACGTGTGGGAAGCCAGGGGAGAGGCACCGTCCCAGCTTCCTCTGAGAAACGTCACCCCAACAGCTCTGTTTATGGAGGGTTTCTGGGGGCTGGGCTGGCGGGGAAGGCACACCAGCTGCTCCAGCCTCATCCCATATGACGCGTTGCCAAGGGCGTCCCAGACCTGGCCCCGTCACAAGGCCTTTGCTCAGACTCTTCCCTGTGCCCGGAGCACCCTTCCCTCCCCTCATGTGTGCTAGCTAGCTGTGGCTGTGAAACGAATCACCCCAAACTTAGCAGCTGAGAACAACAAAAGCTTGCAATGTCAAGAAGGAAAGAACAACATTGAAATGGCTAAAAATAGAAGCAAATGTAATAAACTACCTTCTCATTCGTTTTTAAGTCATGTTTGATGATTGAAGCAAAAATTGTAATCTGGTGTGGTGCTTAATGTATGAAGAAAAAAGAATTCTTAACATCTGTTTTTTCTAAATGGGACAGGCAGCAAACCTAAAAGGAATTAAGTTCTCTACACTTCACAATATATTCAAAATATATTGAATATATATAAATTGGCTGCACCAATTTGCATTCCCACCAACAGTGCAAGAGGGTTCCCCTTTCTCCGCATCTTCACAACACCTGTTGTTTCTTGTGTTAATTTTAGCCACTCTGACAGGTGTGAGGTGGATCTCACTGTGGTTTTGATCTGCAATTCCCTGATGAAGAGTGATGTTGAGCTTCTTTTCATGTGCCCCTTAGGCATCTAAATGTCTTTTTTGGAGAAATGTCTGTTCATGTCTTCTGCCCATTTTTAATAGGATTATCTGGGGGGGGGTAGTGTTGAGTTGTATGAATTCTTTATATATTTTGGATATTAACCCCTAGCATATATAATCTTGTCATTTGTGACAATGTGGATGGATCTAGAAGGTATTATGCTAATTGAAATAAGCCAGACAGAGAAAGACAAATACCATATAATTTCATTTACATGTGGAATCTAAAAACAAAACAAAAGAAGAAATAAACAATTAACAACAACTAAAAAGAGAGAAAGAAATAGACTCACAGACAACACACTGGTGGTTGCCAAAGAGAGGCAGGTGAGCTCGGTGAAGGGGATTAAGATGTACAGACTTCCAGGGGCACCTGGGTGCCTCAGTCGCATAAATGTCCGACTTCAGCTCAGGTCATGATCTCACAGTTTATGAGTTCGAGCCCCATGTTGGGCTCTGTGCTGACAGCTCAGAACCTGGAGCCTGCTTCAGATTCTATGTCTCCCTCTCTCTCTGCCCCTTCCCCACTCACACTTGGTTGCTCTCTCTCAAAAAAAAAAAAAGATTCATACCATTAAAAAAAAAAAAAAAAAGATAACCCTCTAGCAAGACTGAAGGTATCAAGAGTGCAATAGCATAGACACCAGTAACCAATATCGGAAACGAAAAAGGCACTACCACATTGAGAGTCCAGAAACCACTCATGTGATGACGGAGAATTTTACAAACAACTTGAGCCTCCTAAATTCAACAACTGAGAAGAATTGGAGAGAAAGAACAAGAAAGTATTTTCTCAAACACCACAAACTATGAAAACTCAACCAGATAAATGAGACAAACTATAAAATCCTATAATCTTTAACAAATTGAGTTGGTAGTTTGTAAGCTCCTGAGAAAAAATGTCTCCAGACCCAGATGTTTTGCTAGAGAAAACGTTTAAAGAAGAATGGAAAGCATGTCTACACAATGTTGCTCAGAAAATAGAGAAGGGAGTACTTCCCAACTTCTGTTAGAAGGCCCATAACTGGGCATGGAGGAGGGCACTTGTGGGGATAAGCACTGGGTGTTATATGGAAACCAACTTGACAATAAACTATTAAAAAAAAGAAATAAAAGAGTTATTTATAAAAAAGAAGAAGAAGAAGAAGAAGAAGAAGAAGAAGAAGAAGAAGAAGAAAGCGGCACATCCCTTTTCTGACACCAGAACCAGACAAGGACTGCTTGAAACAGGGAAGAAAAGAAAACACTAGACCAAGATATCTCACAAACTAAAATGCAAAGATTTTCAACAAAATATGAGCCAACTGAATCTAGCATTATGACACAAAATATTATACACCATGACCAACTGAGATTTATTCTGGGAATGCAAAGCTGGTTCAGTATGATATAATCAATACAATTCACTGCATCCAAAGATTAAGTCAAATGATCACATCAATTCATACAGATAAAACATTTGATACAATCCAAACCCACTCATGATAACAACTTAAGGAATTAGGAATAGAGGGGGAACCCCCTGAGCTTGCCCAAGAATGCCTACAAAAACTCTACAGCTGACATCATACTTAAAGGTGAAGGGCTGGGTTCTCTCCCCCTAAATTTGGGGACAATCAGCACTGTCTCTTCACATAGTCCTGGAGGGTCTAGCCACTGCCTTAAGGCAAAGGGGAAAAGGCACACAGATTGGAAAGGAAGGATTTAAACCTTTCCTATTTGCAGATGACATGACTGTCTATGTGGAAAGCTCAAAGGAATCTACAAAAAATTTTCTTAGACTAAGTGAGCTCAACAGGGCCAGAGGACACAAGACCAACACATAAAAATCAACCACACTGCTATATACTAACAATATATATGTGAACCTAGAGATTAAAAATATGTCATTTACATGTCCCCCAAAAAGGTATAAACTGTAACAAATATGTACAGGATCTGACAATTACAATATGTTGATTTAAAAAACCCCAAAAGACCTAAATAAGTGGAGAACCATACCATGCTCATGAATTGGAAAACAGCATGGTAAAGAAGTCAGTCTCAACTGATCTATAGAATTGATGCAATTCCTATAAAAATCCCAAATAGGTTTTTGGTCCATGTAAAAAGCTCATTCCAGAATGTACCCAGAGGACATAGGCCCCAGGGCAGCAGGCGCTGTGAGCAGGCAGGACACTGCCAGAACGCTGGAGGAGCCCCTGGCCCCACGGTAAGGTCCCTCTGTAGCCACATCAAAGGGGAGAGGATGGTGATGGGGGGACACACACAGACTTCAACAGGGCGCAGCAGGGAGCCCAGCAGTAGCCTCACCACGGGGATTGGGGGGGGGGTCAGGGGAGGGGTTGCCCACTGTCCAAAAGAAGGAAAAACAGCCTTTCCACAAATGACCTCCAAGGACAGGACCTCCACAGGCAAACAAGAAACCCCAACCTAAACTGCATGCCTGATACAAACACCGACTCAAAAAGGGGTCATAGATTTAAATGTAAACTGTAAAGCTTTTAGAAAATAACTTGGAGAAAGTCTTAGACTCTGAGTCCAAGTCACAGGATGCCATGCGACTTCCATCTTGCTCGCTGGAACACCCATTTTGGAACCTTAGCCTGCCATGAAAAAAGTCCCATCAACCTGAGGCCACCATGCTAAGAGGATGCTTCAGCCACCCAGAGATCCACTGCAGTTGACAGTCCCCACAGGGTCTGCGCCCAAGCCAGCAGCACACCCTCCTCACCCCTACTCGCCAAGCCTGTGGCTGTTTCAGTAACATAAAACCATTTGAACCTTCCCAGCTGAAGCACTAGACACTGTGGAAACAGAGACAAGCTGTCCCCACTGTGCTGTTTGAATTTCTGATCCACAGATTCTTGGGAATAATAAAATTATTGTTGCATTTAACCACAAAGTTTAGGGTGGTTTGCTATGCAAAAGGTCATTCTAAAAAAGATCATTGAACACTGGGCAAATTAACAGAATGAATAGAAAAATGATCTAACTATATGCTGTCCACAAGAGGCATTTTGATCAACCAAATTGACAGACCTTTAGCTAAACTGACAGAGAAGAGTGAAGGTATAGCTTTCAAATTCAGAAATGAAAGTGAGGATACAACTGATTTTACAGAAATGAAGAGGCTTATAAGAATTAGAATTTAAAAGAATACTTTGAACAATTGCACACCAACACATTGGAAGAAACCTAAAAGAATGGACAAATTCCTAGAAACACACAATGTGCCAAAACTGACTCATGAAGAAATAGAAAATTTGAATAGGACTATAGCTAGTAAGGAGATTGAATCAGTGGTTTAAAATCTCCCAATAAAGAAATATCCAAGACCAGATGGCTTCCTTGTGAATTCTAACAAACATTTAATGAGGAATTATACTTACCAACTTGACAATAAACTATTTGTAAAAAAAAAAAAAAAAAGGAAATATATCAATCTTTCCCGAACTCTTTCAGAAATTTAAGGGGAGGAAATATTTCCTAACTCATTTGAAGAAGCCAGCATTACCCTGATACCAAAGCTAAACTAATACACTACAAAAGAGGAAAACTACAGACCAATATCCCTTATGAATATAAGTGCAAAAATCTTCATCAAAAGACTAACATACCAAATTCAGCAGCACATTAAAAAAATTATTACTATAACCAAATGAGATTTATTCCAAGAAGGCAAGGGAAGTTCAACATATGAAAATCAATCACTTCAATACCCTACATTAATAGAATGACAGGAAAAACTACATGATCATCTCAATCAAGGCAGAAAAATCCAATACTCCTTCAGGATTAAAATACTCAATAAATGAGGAATGGGTTGGAAGTTCCTCAACATGAAAGATAGTGTATGAAAAACCCAGAGCTTACCTAATACTCAACTGTAAAAGAGTATAAGGGTTTCCTCTAAGGTCAGGAATAGGACAAAATTACCCACTCTCACCCCCTTGTTCAACATTAAAAAAATGCAAGAAAAAGAAATAAATGAATAAAAAAGGGAAAAAATCCAAATTGGAAAGGAAAAAGTAAAATTATTTCTGTCCAAATATGGCATGATGTATGTTATATGTACAAACACTAAAGAATCTATACACAAACCAAGCTGTCAGAGATATTCAATGAATCCAGTGAAGTTGCAGGATACCAAATCAACAGGCCAAATTTAGTGGCATTTCTGTACACTAACGATGAAAAGGGAATTATAAAAATAATTCTATATACAACAGCATCAAAAATAATAAAATGCTTAGGAATAAATTTAACAAACTATACAAACAACTTGTACACAAAAACTATAAAACATGGCTAAAAAATTAAAGCAGACATCCCATGTTCATGGATCAGGAAACTTAAATTGTCAAGGTGACAACACTACTGAAAGAATCTACAGATTCAGTGCAATCTCTATCAATATCTCTACAGCACTTGTTTTTCAGAAATAAAAAACAACCCGCCGTAAAATTCATATGAAGTCTCAAGTAAGCCCAAATAGCCAAAGAATCTTAAAAAAAGAGAGCAAAGTTGGAGAACTCACACTTCCTTATTTCAAATCTTACTAAAAAAAACTACAATGATAAAAACAGTATGATGGAATAGATAAAAATAGAGTGATGGAAT